TCTGGTCTTTACCCAGGCGGGGTTCCTGCTCCCTTACAGCTGCAAATGCCAGTGTTCTTGGCCCTGGAACTGTGACCAGGACCCCTGCTCTCTTGTGACCAATCATTAGCAGAGTTGCTGATCAATGCCAGCTGCCCCCAGGGCAGAAGGTACAGAGAGAAGCAGTGAAGGGGGTACAGAGGTAGACAACTTGGGGACAAGGGGATGGGATGTGTCACTTTGGGGTTAGTTCATTAGCACATCCAAATCATCTCAACATTATTGGTAAAACTTACAAAGTATAATCACCTTTTTGCTGTTCTGCTGTGGAGGTCTGAACTTGTCTGCGATTTACATATCATAGGAGCAGAAGGTCCTTATAGCAGTACCTAGGTGGCTTCTCCTGCTTCAGCACATATTACCAGGATGTGAATTCTGGTTAATATATGAGACAGTTTGTAAATTTTGCTCCTTTGAGCTTTGGGATGGTTTGTCTGTGACTTCCTGGTTCCCTTTTGCTATCTAATTTCCTGCTATTACTCGTTTATACTGGCTACTTAGAAACCTACTCTACAGACCAGAAGGGGAGGAAGGGGAGGTCAGAGCGACCAGAACAAGGCACAGTTTTTACTGTATAGTGGGTGCTTTGCTAACCCGAGAGTCATATGTCACCTGCTTTAAAACAGGTTTAATTATATATGTGAATATAGCACCCCCCCCAAATAGCTTCAGTGTGGAAGAGCAAAAACATGGTGGGATTATAGAAATAAGGGGGGCTCAAATTAATTGAAGAAAGTGTAGATCTTTTCAACATTTCAACATTTCAACATCCCAGAACATATTTACCAAATTGCCATGGAGCAATGAGTGAACAGGGACGTGAGTCTGGGGGTGGTGTGGCTGTCCTCAGGTACAACTTTTTAAGTACAGTATTTAGCTTTGCGTCAGAGAACACATACAATACTCCACCCCTATTATGGTTATCACGTCATATGGTATCATCATATCAAAATGCATCACATATCATATCTTATCACATAGTGTATCAAGTCACATGTTGTTTTGTTTTATGTTTTCAGCTCCCCAAAGAGATTTCATTTCAGAGTTGCAGCTTATGTTTAGAGATGGCACATATTTAGACTAATCTGAAATATTTCCTGGTTTGTGACTTTATAGTTCAGGCAATTCCACATTTATGGATATAGGACCAGACCACAGTGCCAAATTTCACTTACTTGGCATATATCAACTATGGGAAAACAGATACTTTCTTTTCTAGAGATAAAAAAATAACTTTTTGTAAATAATCTCCCATTGTTTGAAGGGCAGGTAATTTTTTTTACTGGTCTTGATAGAAAGCACAAGACTTTCCAATTCCTTAAAAATTGTTAATAATAATAATAAACAATAAAATAATAACAAATAATAAAGTAAATATAAAAATAAAAATTTTAATAAATAACTAACATTTACATAGCATCATGTGTAGAATATAGAGTATAGTGTATATATGTATACATGTCACATGTGTATACATAATGTGAATATATCTCTTCTAGCTCCAAATCTAATCCCATAATCCCCTTTTCATATAAAGATATTGACACTAATTTGAGGAGAGATTCAGTATTAATATCCAGCTGGGGATCTGGCAGGGAGGGCTCCTGGAGGAGGTGGTTTCTGACCTGAGCCTTGAAAGAGGATAGCAAGCATGCTGTCCAGATCTGAAGGAAATTTGGCAAAGCAAAGACACAGGGAAGGAAGCAATAACTTAGGGAATGTCGAATGAGAAAAGAGGAATGATGAACAAGTCTGAAAAAATAATTATTATCATAGCTAACATTTACATAGAGCTTTACAAATATGATCTCATTTGATCCCCACAATGGTCCTGGGGAACCATTATTATTATCACTCCCATGCAACTACTATTATTCCCATTTTACAGATGAAGAAACTGAGTCAGGCAGAGGTTAAGTGACTTGCCCAGGGTCGCACAGGTAGGAAGCTCAGAGGAAAAATTCCTCAATTATGCCTTCACCAAAATTTTCAATGCTCCCATCGATCCAAATAATTATAATTTATAGTACTTAAAGGTTTGCAAGCCTCTCTACAGACATTATCTCATCAAAGCCCAAAATAAACCTGTGGACTACAGGTCTTTATCTGCAAGGGATGAAACTACGGCAAAGGTGGAGTGAATTACCCAAGGTCATACAGCTACTAAGTGTCAGAGCCAGGATTTGAGCCCAGGTTTAAGTTTGAACCTAGGTTTCTGTTGACTCCAAACCCAGTGCTTTTCCCACTATGGCAGGCTGCCCCTAGGAGTAACATGTTGGAGCTAGCTTGCTGCTTCATGCTTACACTGCAACATTCCTTTAACCTTATCAGCATGTGGCTCAGAGTTTGATTTCAGGTCATGGTGGTGTGCAAAATAGTGCAAATCGATTTGATAGATAGGACAAGAGCCATTTCTGATCTGCCAATGCAGTTCCAAAACTATTTTGGGTGATTATAGGGTTTAGAGCTGAATGAGATGTCAGGGAACAGGACCAGCTCCCTCACTTGGTAAATTTTTGATAAATCTATAAATTTAATAAATAAAAAGCTAATGCCCAGAAGGGAGGGAGTGACCGACTTAGACCTGGAAGAGACCCTGAGAGGCAGCTTGTCCAACTTTTCATTTTACAGATGAAGAAACTGAGTGAGGCCTAGGGATGTATAGCAACTTGCCCAAGGTCACACAGGTAGTAAGCAATATAGAAGCAGGATCTGAACCCAGGTACTTGAACTCCAAATCCAGAGTTCTTACCCCTGGACCTATGGACCTGCCTCTGTGGTCCCATTTGGTTGTGACATTCTAGGATCTTGTGACCTCCCAGTCTTGCCAACCTCTTCCAAATACTCTCTGATGTGGAGAGCAGGAGAGTTCAGGATGGCCCAGAGTCAGGGCATGAACACACAGAGCTGGAGCGCCAGCTATGTGAGCCCTGGAGCTGAAAAGGTCAGAAGTGGAGTGGCTTGGAAGACAGAAATAGGGTCAGAACAGGAAGGGGTCACAGGCAAGTGTGAGGGGGGTAGCAAGGTCAGACTGCCAGGACGTGGTGGGTCTGTAGGTAGACACAGCTGTGGGGCCCGGGACCGCTCTCTAGAGGATGGGGTGATGGGGGCTGTGCTCCAGGGAGTCAAGAAACATTGGAGTTCCTCCAGCAGGTCGGAACACCTGAGATCGGAGTCTAGTTAGGAAGACAAAGTCATTCAAACTGGAAGCCACCAGATGGCTTGCTTCCTCCCCCTGGTGGCTGGACACTAGGTGAACTTCTCTCTGGCCAGTCCCCACTCTGCTGCCTCCCCTTACAGCGACAGCGTCCTGGTGTCCCCCAGAGGAGTCTCCCCACTGAGGACTTCGCATACCAAGGTCCCAGGTGCTCCCAGAAGGATCCTCCCGCCCGCCCCCCAAAAAAGAGTTACATTGTAGTCCTACCTCTAGCTGCTTCCTCAGGACACACTTTGGGGTTCATAATGCACGTTACAGCTCTGCCACCCTCTAGTTCCTATGGGAACTTTCCCACCATTGCTGCCCTGTGTCACTCAGAGGATTATAGATTTAGGACTAGAAGTCCAACCCCTCTATTTTACAGATAAAAACATCTCTGCCTTCTGGCCTTCCTTTAGCCCCAGCTACAGTCTGACCCGCGGGAAGAAGCCTCCCCGCCCCCCCCCCGGCTTTACTGCCAGCTCCTTTCCCGTGTTGAGGGGATCACCGTTGTACGTGGGTTTTTTTCGTTGTCGCCCCATTACTCCGCGAGCTCCTTGGGAGAAGGGACGGTCTTCTGCCTTTCTTTCTACCTTCAGTCCTTTGCCTAGTGATCGCCCCGAGCAGGTGATTAAGAAAGGCTCATTGACTACCCTCAGCCGGCCTGTCTTTCCAAGGCAGGCTCCCCTGCTCTGAGAAGCACCTGTCCCTCGGACGTGGCTCATGCCCAGAGCTGCCCTCCTAGCTCTGACCTCCTTTCCCAGCGGTACCCCCACATCTGCATCCACCTGCTGGCCGCAGTCCCCTCCCTCCCCCCAGCGCCTGTAGCTCCTCGAGCCAGTCTTTGTCTTTCTCCTCAATCCGTTCCTCTTCCTGACCTCCTCATTCTGGTCAACTGACCACCTTGAAATCCAGGGGTCACCTTTGACTTACTGGCTTTCCTTAGACCCACACCTAATGCCCTGCCCGTTGCATTTCTGCAATACCTCTTGCATCATCTGCTTCTCACCACTGATTCTGCTGCTTATCATCCATGAGACCTTGGACAAGTCACTTCCCTCCTTGGGCCTCAGTTTCCCTCTCTGTAAAATGAGGGGCTTGGTCTAGATGGCCTCTGAGGTCCCTTCCGGCTCTAAGTCTATGATGAGCTCTCAAATCTCAAGAAATGAAATGCAGTCCGCATCTTTTCACCTAATCAAATGCTCTAGTCAGATGAAATCTAATTGGCTTCTGTAGTCAGTCAACAAATATCTATCAGCTGTGTGACCCTGGGTCAACTACTTCAACTTCTCTGTGCCTCAGTTTCCCCATTTGTAAAATGGCCTCTAAGGTCTCTTTAATATTTAAATCTATGCTCCTATAGGAAACTCTTCTCTCGAGCAGCTCAGCTTCTTCCCTCCAACTTTTAGTCTTGGAAGAATGTCTGGATCTGGGGCTGGGGCGGGAAGAGAGGGGGGACCTCAAGAGGTATCCTGTCCCTTTAAGAGGGCGAGGCCTACTGCCCCTCATCAACTAGTCGATTCCCAGGCCCTCATCCCCGCCTCTTCCGCCCTGCACTGACGTGACCGCCCCTTTTCCGGTCACCGCCTGCCTTCCCTCCTCCCTCCCCGCGCTGATTAGGCGGTTACAAAAATTAAAAAAAAAAAAAAGACTCCAGACCACCCCTTCCGGCAGTCCGCTCCCTACTCCTCGTGCCCGAGTCACCAGGCTTCAGGAATCTGCAGAGGGGGAGGCGGGGCGGGGAGGGGCCTGTTTTGATTGGCGGAGGAAGGCGCGGACCCCGTCACGTGAGAGTGAGCGCGTTTTGTTTGCGGAAGTGGAAGGTCGTGAGCCAGGGAGGAGGTGAGTCAGGGCCCGGGCCAGACCGGCCCGCCCCCGCCCGCCGCTCCCGGGCCCTGGGAGGGAGGGACCGAGGAGGCCCGAGCCCGGCCCTGCCCCCAGGCCCGCGTCCTTAAATCACTCGGACCCCGCCCCCCCGCCTCTGTCCCCTCCCCTTCCGCCCTCCTGCCCTTTCCACCCCTCCCCCTCCCTCCCCCTTCCTCACAGCCCCTTCCCACTTCCATCCCCCTTCCCCACCTCTCACCCTTCCCTTTTATCCCTCTCCCCTTTCCATCCCTTTCTCCTCCATCCCCCTCCATCTTCCTCCCTTTCACCCCCCTTTCCCACATTCCTCTCCCTCTCCATCCCTCTTTCCCACCCTGTCTCCCTTCCCCTTCATCCCTCTCCCCTCCTCCTTCATCCCCCTCCATCCTCTCCCCTTTCCATCCCTCTCCCCCTACCTTCCCACCATCCCCCGCTCCTTTCCCCTTCCCCTTATTCCCCTCTTCCCTTCCATCACTGAGAAGACCCTGCCCAGCCTCCTGCCCTTCACACCACCAGCCCCCACCCTTGTAAAATGAGGGACTGGACTGAATGACTTTCCTATCTCAAGGTCCCTTCCAACTCCAAATCCATGATCCAAACCCTGGGCCTCATCCTTCCAGCCTCTTCTGCACTCCTGTCCTGGGCTGATCTCGCTCATCCTACCTGTATGTCTCTTCTCCTCCATCCCAGGCCTGACTCCTCACCCCACCCATCACTCCCAGCTTTCATCTCCTCCCAGATCTCCGACAGTTTCAGGCCCATGTCTTTTCACCAGTCAACAGGTATTAGGTGCCTGCTATATGCTAGGGACAGAAAAACAGAAACAGTCTTTGCCCTCAAGGAACTTAGCTTCTTATACATGTGTATAGAGACATGTACATATCAATAAGCATTTATTTATATTTTGTTTAGTATTTTATTTTTCCCCAATTACAATTAACAACAATTTTTAACACTAGTTTTTTTTGAAATTTCAGTTCCAAATTCTCTCCCTTCCTCCCTCCCCAGCCCCCTCATTGAGAAGGCAAGCAATTTGATATAGGTTATCCATGTGTAGTCATGCAAAACACTTCCATAACAGTCATGTTGTGAAAGAAAATCACACATACACACACACACACACAAACTTCAAGATAAATAAGAAAGTAAAAAAGTCTGCTTCAGTCTATGTTCAGATGTCATCAGTTCTTTCTCTGGGGATGGATAGCATTTTTCATCATGAGTTCTTAAAGACATCTTAAAGACATCTTAAATGTCTTAAATCATTGTGTTGATGAGAATAGCTAAGTTATTCATAGCTGATCATCTTACAATATTGCTGTTAACTTTGTACACAGTACATTTCACTTTGCATCTGTTTCCAGGTTTTTCTGAGAGCATTCTGCTCATCATTTCTTATAGCACAATAATATTCCATCACATTACCACAGCTTGTTCAGTCATTCCCCAATTGGTGGACATCCTCTCAATTTCCAGTTCTTTGCCACCAGAAAAGAACTGCTCTAAATATTTTTGTACATACGTGTCTTTTTCCTTTTTGTTTTTTATCTCTTTGGGATATAGACCTAGTAGTGGTATTGCTATAGCAAAGGACATGCACAGTTTTATAGTCCTTTGGGCATAGTGCTAAATTGCTCTACAGAGTGGTTGAAACAGTTCACAACTCCACCAACAGTGCATTTATGTCCCACATCCCCTCCAAAATTTGTTATTTTCCTTTTCTGTCCTGTTAGCCCATCTAATAGGTATGAGGTAGTACCTCAGAATTGTGTTTTAATTTATGTTTTTCCAGCTTAGAATACCTCCTCTGAAAACTGTTTATATCTTTTGATCATTTATCAACTGGAGAGTGGCTCTTATTTTTATAAATTTGTCTCGATTTTCTTTACGTGAGAAATGAGGCCTTTATCAGAGAAATTTGATTCAACATTTTTTTTTCCACAGTTAAGATTACTAACTGTATTTCCCTCCATCCTATTCCCCCCCACACATGTTTATTCTGTTCTCTCTCTCCTTTCACCCTGCCCCTCCTCAAAGGTGTTTTGTTTTTGACTGCTCCCTCCTCAAATCTACCCTTTCTTCTATCACTCCCCCTCCAAGTCCCCTTCCCCTCCTACTTTCCTGTAGGGTAAGATGGATTTCTATACACAGTTGAATGTGTATGTTATTTCCTCTTTGAGCCAATTCTGATGAGACTAAGGTTCACTCACTCCCTCTCACCTCCCCCATCTCTCCACTGTAAAAGCTTTTTCTTGCCTCTTTTATGTGAGATAATTTACCATATTCTACCTTTACCTTTCACCCAGTGCATTCCACTTTCACCCCTTTAATTTTATTTTTTAGGCTGTCATCCCTTCATATTCAACTTAACACCTGTGACCTCTGTCTCTGTATACTTCTTCTAATTGCCGTAATAATGAGAAAGTTCTTATGAGTTACAAGTATCATCTTCCCATGTAGGAATGTAAACACTTCTACTTTATTAAGTGCCTTATGATTTCTCTTTCCAGTTTCCCTTTTTATTCTTCTCGAGTCTTGCATTTGAAAGTTAAATTTTCTATTCAGCTTTGGTCTTGTCATCAAAAATGCTTGAAAACCCTCTATTTCATTGAATATCCATTTTTCCCCTGAAGGATTACACCCACTCTTGTTGAGTAGGTGATTCTTCATTGTAATCCTAGCTCCTTTGCCCTCTGGAATATCATATTCCAAGCCCTCTGATTCTTTAATGTAGAAGCTGCTAAATCTTGTGTTACCCTGATTGTCTCCACAATACTTGAATTGTTTCTTTCTGTCTGCTTGCAATATTTTCTCCTTGACCTGGGAGCTCTGGAACTTAGCTATATTTCTGGGAGTTTTCATTTTGGGATCTCTTTCAGGAGGTGGTCAGTGGATTCTTTCAATTTCTATTTTACCCTCTGGTACTAGAATATCAGGACAGTTTTCCTTGATAATTTCTTGAAAGATGATATCTGGGCTTTCTTTTTGATCATGGCATTCAGGTAGTCCAAAAAATTTTAAATTATCTTTCTTGGATCTATTTTGCAGGTCAATTATTTTTCCAGTGAGATATTTCACATTGTCTTCTATTTTTTTTTCATTCTTTTGGTTTTGTTTTATTGTTTCTTGATTTCTCATAAAGTCATTAGCTTCCATTTGCTTCCATTCTAATTTTTAAGGAATTATTTTCTTTAGTGAGCTTTTAGTACCTCCTTTTCCATTTGGCCATTTCTGGTTTTTAAGGCATTCTTCTCCTCATTGGCTTTTTGGACCTCTTTTACCATTTGGCCTAGTCTGTTTTTTAAGTTGTTATTTTCTTCAGCATTTTTTTTGTGTGTGTCTCCTTTACCAAGCTGTTGGCTCTTTTCTCATGATTTTCTTGCATTACTTTCATTTCTCTTCCCAGTTTTTACTGTATCTCTTTTTTTGATTTTCAGAATCCTTTTTGAGCCCTTCCATGTCTTGAAACCAATTCATATTTTTTCTTGGAGGCTTTGGTTATGTTGAGTATGTATTTTGATCTCTCTTGTCACCATAGTAACTTTCTATGGTCAGAATTTTTTCCTGTTGTTTGCTCATTTTTCCAGTCTATTTCTTGACTTTTAACTCTTTGTTAAAGAGTTTCCAGGGTGCAGGGCATGCTGTCCCAAGCTTCAGGGAGTTGTTTGGTGTGGCTGTTTTCAGAGATACTTCTAGGGACCTGTAAGTTTTCAGTTCTTCCAAGGTGGGATGATCTAAGGAGAGGTGCTGTACTCCCACAGCCTTCTTGTCAACCCTACTTTCTGTCCTTTCCCTCCCTCCCAGCCCAGTCCATGATGTTTCTGTCCCTCCTTTCATCTTTCATCTTCCCTCAATTCCTTCCTACTCCTTATTCTCCATTTGCAGTCCCTGACTAGGGTTCTCCATCTCTGTTCCCATAGCCTGGGGAAAGCGCCCTGGAGATGGTTTTGGTGACTGGTGAGGCCGGGCAGCCTTGCTGGGAGGGGGACGTGGAGCGGTGTCTCTTGGGGCGGGCCTCCTTAGGGCCTCTTGCCGCTGACCTGGGATCACGTCCTGTTCCTCAGGCTCCAAGGTGCTAGTTAGGAGGGTTCCTTAGGTAATGCTACCTGGGTTGCGCTTACCTCTGAGCAGTCACCCATGGGCTCCTTGCTGTTTGGTGGCTTTTTACTTTCTAAGGTGATAGGGAATTGTCTTCTGTGTGCCGTCAGCAGTTCTGAGGGAGACAAGTCAGTGTCCTGGGAAGGGACTTTTCTTCCCGGTCATCAGGATGGTATAACTGAGGCATCTGAAAAGAAGGTGTGGAAGCCTGCGAACTGAGGGCTCGGGGAGAGCCGTGAAAGGGAAGGACACGGGGTTCCTTCTAATGGGCAGCAAGGAGGGAGGGCTGGTTTTGTCATTCCTAGGCTCCCAGGATTTCTATGTAGAGTTGAAAGGGCCCCAAGAGACCTTATCTGGTCCAGTCTCTTCAGATGACAGAGTTGGAAACCAAAGTTTTAAGACTTAGAATCACTGGCACTGAAGTGAAGGGGACCTCATCTATCCAGTCTCTGCCCAAGCCCTTTAAAGTTTGCTAAGCACTTTTCCAGAGAGCATCTTTCTGATCCTCACAAGAACGCTGTGAGGTAGCTGCTGTCATTATCCCCATTTCACAGACGAGGGACTGAGGCAGACAGGCGAAGTGACTTGCTCGGGGTCCCACAGCTAGTCAGTGTCTGAGGCAGGACTTGAACTCAGGTCTTCCTGACTCCAAGCTCGGCACTGTGCCGCCTAGCTGCCTCTGTGTGAACCCCACCACAGCAGCCTAGACCAGCGGCACCTGGCCAAGGGCTCACTCCCTGAATTAGCAGTCTGCACCCCACTGTGTGTCTGCCCCCGCTCAGTGCGCTGGCCGAGGCGGAAGGACGTCTTAGGGTACCAGTACTTTCTGCAGTCTCGACCTGGCTCATTTGAAGGGCTGGCCAAGGCTCCTCTTTGAAAAG